GCCAATCAATCCATGTGCGCTGACATCTCTTGTTACCTCTTTCTCACCTGATAAAATGTTTTGTTACCGGGATTAGCAAAGTTAACTGTCAACTCACGTTTCTGTAAGTTAAATCTTTTTGTATCTCCACCCAAAATGATTCACGCACTAAGGATACATGATTCCTTTACCTTTCCTCGGCGAGTTGTTTGCATCCAGTACGTTTTTCCCCATCATCCCCTCTTACTAATAGATCGATATAACCTTGTCCTGTAACAAATCAGTATTCCCTCACAGATCAGTAATTCTCATGGTTCACATCTGATCTGTATAACCTTGTCCTGTAACTTGGGAAAGTTAACGGTTAACTTTTTGTAGCTCTACTCACCACAAGGTAGCTTATATGTTTCATTCCTTGCCCAGTCCCCAACCGCCCTTGAGCTTACTTGATTCGGTGTTTGATTAGTTTTAGTTACCGTGTCTATCATATTTTCTGCAAATAAAGTTAACCCATAAAGACAATGCTAACAAAGTTAACACTCTAATAATATTTCACCTTATTAATTTTCTGATAACACTCTTCTCATCTATCAACTTACCACCCCTGAGTTCAACTCTTTTCCGAAATGGTGCCGCGGCTGCTGCTAACATGCTGCCTGTTCATCATTTTTCAAGCTTAGTTATTTTGTACTATTATTCACTCAGGAAAAAGACCAAATAAAGGTTCGGGCACCTATAACCGAATTTTGATGCTCATATCCACTCTCTCCTATTGCAGGCTGATTTGCATTTGAGCTACCCCCACATTCGGGTCTCTGTTGACCTAGGGTTACATTAGTGGAGTATGAGTTCACGTTTCTCTCTGTTCCCCGAGGGATAACTCGTACCCGCAGCACTACATCTTCTAAATCGGCCCTTATCGCCATAAACAAGGAGGCGTCTTCGTCATCCATGATATATATTGGATGATTTCTTCTTCCCTCAGCACCCAACATCCACTCCGGCCATTGATAAATAATTTCAACATCATATCCGGCCAACAGACGGAGTTCATGTTTGACAGCTGCTTCGACGGTTGCAAAAGTGTCCTTCTCTTTTAAACTGATAACATAGTTATCAGTTACATTATCAGGTTCATGATTCCACATACCGTCTCCACCTTTTGTCCATTTTCCACGAATCACGCGTACGTTCATCGCCATCCCCTACAAGGTCACGATATAAACATGTCTTAATCACAATAAAATACAACACCAAGATCTTCATATAATTTTGAGCTATTAAAGACAGAAAAAGTTACCGATAACTACCTCTTAGGGCTCCACACCTATCTCCAATAGAAATTCAGAAACGAAGCAGTTATTAACTCTCTCTGATTTTATCTCTATCCTGTTTTTACTAGCTGTAAATGGGAATGAAGGCAACCTTTGTTATCGCCATTATTATAGGGAGATAAGTCTGTTATCTTTTTTTTACGTTGCTCGAGATATTTTCTTAGCAGATAATCTTTCTGAGATATGTTTTTTTATTGGACGGTGCAGATTAATCCTCCAGGCGGCGCAGTATCTCATCAAAGATACTCATTGTATTATAAAATTTCCTGTCTCCTCATAAGCCAGAAGCATTTAATGCGACTGCGCAAGTATTCTCTTCCCTCTATAGGGTCATTTTTGCCTACAATGATTTTTGCAATAAGTATATTCTTTATTATTCAACTAAGCTTCCCATACACTTAATTTTCCCATTATCCAAGGGTATTAGACCGCTTAACTCAAAAAGAAATTCGAAACTTATGATTGGTCTTAAAAGGCCCCAGTCATTAATGATTTGAACAACTCTAACATCTTTTGTTTATAGAGTTGTAACCAGAATTCAAATTTAGTTGACCAAAACAATACATTCGTTTGGTTTGGAATTGGAAGTGGGTAAAATTTAGTTCAGATCAAGTTAGGAAATGTAGGAATACTACTTTGAGCCTGAACTGTCTAAGAGCACTTCCAACGCTAGTATCAGGAGGGTTTCTAGTTAATTTTTAAACTGAAAAAAAAAACATTTAATGGGTTTAAAAAACAGATACGGTTCTTGTTTTGTGCTCTGCAGAGCCTCATTAGAGATGCTGACGTGTCAATAGATGATTGGTCGTTGGCTTTTTTATTTTTTTTGTTTATTTTATTTAAAACCTCTGAATATATAGAAGCTTTGCTACATTTATTATTTTTGTTCTGCTTCGTACAAATTTTAGCCGATATGTTCTGCTTCGTAAAATTTTTAGCCGACGTTTTTGTGTGAGATATCTCCGATGCTCTCTGAGGAAATCAATGGCGGCGAGTCCTGTCCATGCATCCTAGGTGTCGTCCTCTGTTCCTCTCCATTTCACCGAGACTGCGGCTTCACTTCGGCGGCGAGCAATCCATCGAGCAAATCGGTGGCTTTGATTCTACAATTCGGCAGCGAGAATTCAACAAATCGTCGGTGAGACTTCAACAAAAATTCAGAGCCGATTATCCACATATGATCGACCAAACAAAGCAAAGTCAAAGCAAAGAAATAAGGGCTCAAATTACAAGTAAGCTTTCTTCTTATTTTATTACTTATCCGAGAATATAGTGAATGAATTAGGTTGATGGTTTGTTTGTGTTTGATGTGCTTGATGATTGATGGTTTGGATGGGTTGAATTAGGCATGGAATCAATGCTCTGTAATGTTAGGTTTGCATTAGAGAGTGGATTGAATGCTTAGTTGAATTAGGTTGTCTTAGTTGTGCTTTATGTCACACTTGATCAATGCAAAGTGGTTTTAGGTTGGTAAAAATAGAACTTGACAATGAATGCTAACTAGAAAGCTAACCTCTTTCCTTCATCAATGCTAACTCTTGCTTGAATGCTAACCTCTTCCTCCTCATTCGCATAAGTAAAGACACCAACTAACTACAACTTTAACTCCAAGTCTTTCTTGAATGCTAAGTATATCTTCAATACTTAGCTTTTATAAAACGGTGGAGACATTGTTTTTTTAAGAAATCCCACACTCAAAACTCTTTCTTTCTCATTTCCTTTTCATTCGCCTAAACCCCAACACAAGCCAACAGAATCCAACTCTCTCCTTCTCGTTTCCTTTTCATTCGCCTAAACTCTTCCCTTCTCATTTCCTTTTCAGTTTTTTAACTCTTTCATTCGCATTTCCATTGCTTTTAATGGACTCTAGGAATCCTTTTTCTGACACTTCAGGCTTCATGAACCTGCTAACCAGCCAACAAATGAGCCATACCCATAGCCTTGAACCCATGGAACAAACCATTGCACTCGATGATTCACAAGTTCCAGTTTTTGGAACCCAATGGAGTGATTCTCCAAGTCCAGGTGATTCACAAGCCGAAGACCGCAAGACAAGGAAGCCATGGACTCCCACTGGAGATCTTGTGCTCATAAGATATTCACCAGACCATCTACGAAGACCCACACCATAAGATCTTCAACGCCTACTAGATATTGGAGAATATCGCGGATTTCCCGGGATGATAGGAAGCATCGATTGTATGCATTGGGATTGGAAAAATTATCTCACCGCTTGGACATGACAATTCACACGAGGATCTGGAAAACTGACAATCGTTTTAGAGGCTGTAGCTTCACAAGATCTTTGGATATGACACACAATTTTGGACCTCCAGGTACCTTAAATTATATTAATGTTCTTGATCGCTCACTGGTATTTGATGATATATTACAAGGTAAAGCTTCAAAAGTGAACTACTTTGTCAACGGACACCAGTATCATTTGGCTTACTATCTCACCGATGGAATTTATCCAAAATGGGCTACATTTATCCAATCTATTAGCCTTCCAGAAGGTGAAAAAGCATGCTTATTTGCTGGACATCAAGAAGCTGCCCGTAAAGATGTCGAACGTACTTTTGGAGTCTTACAAGCACGATTTGCCATTGTTAAAAACCCGGCTCTGATGTGGGATAAGGTGAAAATAGGAAAGATTATGCGAGCATGTATAATACTTCATAACATGATCGTAGGAGACGAACGAGGTGGGTACACTCTGTTTAATGTTGAAAAATTCACACAAGTAGAAGCAAACAAAACTTCACATATGGATATGACGCATTCTACCGACATGCCTTCAAATCTCACTAATATTATGGTCATCCGTAATTCAGTTCGTTCTCGAAATACGCATGACCAATTAAAAGAAGATTTACTAGAGCATATATGGAATAAGTTTGGTTAAATCAAGATTGCAACTAATCTTATTCTGGGTTTATGATTTACATATTTCTGTTTAATTTGGTTTTATGTAATGTTTGTTTAAATTTTAAATTAATAAAATAATTTATATTCATGAAATATTTTTATTATAAAAACTACAATAAAAAAAAAAATTTTGAACCCCTCATTACATCCCACCATTAGACCATTATATTTGGAAGAGATGTAGTAGAGGAACAAAAAAAAATGAATAAATCTATGAAAATAATGAATTAGAACTCCTCGCTACATCCCATGGTTGGAGGTGGTCTAACTAGCCCACTACGTGACTACGTCTACTACGGTCTACCAATAAAGTATTATATTCCATGACCTACAAATGCTACACAAAAAAATTAATTTGAGAAAGTGAGACAATCGAAAGAGAAAGAGATGGCTTAGGCTATACTTGTCAAGGAAACGGAGCTGGCTAAGTTTCAATTGTGGCATACTCACAGAGAAATTTCATGATTGAATAATAACAAATTTGTAGTTTGAATACAAATAATCACCATTTAGAAATACAAATCATTGGTCTTTGAGTGCGTGCACATCACTCGTTTTTGCTTTTTCTAATGAAGAATTAGGATCAGTGACTATCGATCTAGGATCGTTGAATTAATTACATCAACACATCAATCTTGATTTATGTATATAATTGATCTAATAGCATGTTTAAGAGATTCAGCTAGACATATAATGTCTAATGGTTGATTTGATTATTTGACAATAATGACTATATTCACAGAACCATAAACGCATATCTTCCAATGCATCATTTATACCAATGAACCATTCATATATCATCTTTATATAAAAGTTATATTCACTTTCTCTTTCGTATCATATTCATAAGAGTTTTAGATATGTGAATCCTCTTATAAACACTCATATCTTGGAGGCATCAGCTGTGATCCGACGGTTGAGGGCAACGGCAGCCTTGGAACCGTTTGGACGGCCAAGATGCTTGCTGATGTAATCTCCAGCAGCTATAAGCTTTCCCAAATCGACATTGGATTGGACGCCTAAACCGTTCAACATGTAAACCACATCTTCTGTGGCTACATTTCCTGAAGCTCCTTTTGCATATGGGCAACCGCCTAATCCAGCGACTGATGAGTCTACTATGTTTATTCCCATCTGTTTTATTTTTCACCAACATGTCAAAAACACATAAAATAAAGTTTTTATTACAACTACACCTTGTTCTGTTGCTACACGTACTTGGAGAGACACCAATATGTTTGCAAGAGCTTGCCCGTAGGTATCGTGGAAGTGAACAGCAAGCTTCTCTGCTGGCACAACTGCCATCACGGCTTCAAGCATGGGAACCACAGAACCTGATTCATATATAAGAACAGAAGCTGTAAGAGCTACTTTTCTTATTCAATCACCAAACAGAGAGAATTGATTAATGAGAGACTTTTAACTCTTAAACAAATGCTCAACCCAAGTCCTAGAAAATCCACACCCAAAACAATATTTACTCTGCTGCATTCAGTCTTAGGCTAGGTACAGTGAATCTATGGCTAATTATTGAGCCACTTAATGTCTAGTTTATCACCCCTATATATATACAGAGTGCACATGTGTAGCTGAATAGGCAATATTTTTAGTAAAGATACTACCAGGAGTGCCGATTCCAATTGTGTCACCCAAAGAAATCTCAAAGCAGCCCATTTCATAGAGTTCTTTCGCAACATAAGCCACTTTTGAGGGTGGAACGGCTCCCTCTACTGGACACCCGACAACGCAAGATACATACCTTCAACATTGAGAACATAGTCGTGGACCATATTTAGAACGACCTGTTTCTGCTATAACCGGTCTAATATGATTGAAAACTGGAAAACAACACTTACTGGATCCATTATATGATACATTATACCAGAAATGAACTAATTGGAATAAACTTGATGGCGGATGACGTTTAAACATAAAAAACGTTCAATGGGTCCATAATTCATATTACTACACATTAATCCAGAACGGAGACAAACATTACATGATTATCACCTTTCAAAAGAATTGTATGTCATACAGGCCCTAGGATAAGATTATTACACGTATGGATTAGAATTTTACCAAACTTATTGGGCAAATAGTTTACACTATAATTCCGCGCCATTCTTGTTAGACGCAATCTACGGGGAGCATATAATGTACAGAAGCATGACAAATTAGAAGACACGTACCCACGGACAGGAATCGAATGCTCCTTTGCAGCAGTGGTAACAGCACGAAATCTCAAGAGACTCTCTTCAATGGTACAGTTGATATTTGACAAGGAGAATGACTCAGAAGCAGAAGCGAAGATTGCAACTTCCTTAGCACCTGCAGATACAGCCGCTTCAAATCCCTAAAAAAAAGCAAGCACTCCATGTTGGTGTTCAAAAGTAAGAAACCAAGAATTATCTGCATAGCCTTAAGCGATAGATGGTACACACTTTCAGATTTGGTGTTAGAACTGGCAGTCGAGCCCCATCTAGAGTACTTACTGCATCCATTACATCCTTTGCATCTGCAAGCTACAAGGCGAAATAGTATAAATAATAAAAATATGTTCATCCAGATTAGTTTTACGTAACATGTTACATAACTACTTTCTATAATCTAAATGGTATTATACTTCCTTCTACACAATCAGAAATATGGACTTTGTTATCTCCGTTGTTTTGCCTACCAGAAGCAATTTGAATTACATAAACCAATAACTATACATTGGCCAAAAGAAATTTACAGAAATTGTATGCTGCACAAGTAAGATCACAAAAGCAAGCAAAATATTTATTTTCGAGTTTGGCAGCTCGTACTCAGGTAATCTTTTTGTTCCATGCGGTGTGATAGAACATTGTTTAATAATTATACCAGTTATATTTTTTCCAACAGAGGTTCCTAATACAGTCCTGGTAAGATGCAAATCCCCGAAAAACAAACTGAAAATTAGATTTTGCATCTTAAAAAATTATTCTACAATGGAACTTTTAATTTTAAGAGAATTTATAAAAGTCTGTCCGCAGTAAATGATCATTTCTCCAAATAGGTCGCTCAATATACTTAACTACAGGATACACCAAACAAACGATCATATGACACAGATTCAGGAGAGTTAAAATTATAAACACCAGCATAACAGCATTACCTGGGGAACCCATTTAGGTGATACAAAACTCGTAGCCTCAACAACAGGCAATCCGGAAGAAACTAATCTCTGAATTAGTTCCACCTTGACAGATGTGGGTACTATATTTTTCTCGTTCTGCAGGCCATCCCTTGGACCAACTTCTACAATCTTCACAAATTTCGGTACACCTCTAACAATCTAAATTTCATGCATAAAAGGCAGAATAAGAGAAGAAAAAGGTCGTTAAGTATTGGGGACTTTTCAGCAGAAATTGAAAAGATGAATCATCTTACAAACATATGTTTACAGAGAAATCCTACAGACAGACAATGAAAAACGAAAAAAAAATCTGGCTATGTTCCACCATCAAGAAAATTACTTTGTTACTTGAATGTGATATGCCATTCTCATTGCTAATTGTGTGATACTTATGCTCCTGAAAATTTTTGGATTCCCATAAAGTCCCAGAAACTGTGGAATTCCTTCCTGAGAATGAAATATTCCTTAGTAGATGTTCTCCTTCAGATATTTTCCGAGTATGCCTTCTCCACGGAAATGACTCTTTACCGAAGCTTTTATCATCATCACTGTAAGTTAACAGATGTTTCAAGAGCACAAGAAATGAAAAGTTAACTTCTGCAGCTGACACAAACAAAACCAATTTTTAAAAAAAGAATGGAAATTATGGAAGTGCCTTCAACTTGCAAGAGACTTAACTCAAACAAACGATATGAACTACTCACTTGCAACTGTTTGACGTGCTGCAATCTCTTTCCTCGATCCATCGGTGTCCCATGCCGACATCATCCCTGAGCCGACAAGCACCCGATGAAAACCTCTGAATCCTATCTATGGTACTCATACTTGGCAACTTGTCAAAGGCTAGCGGCTCCTCTAAACTCGACATGGTGACAAAGTGCGAGACTGGAATATAAGCATGATGCAAATGAGTGTTGTTTGTTAGACTCTTGCACCATAAAGAATGGGCTCTTCTCACCCCATTCCACTGCATTTCAGCAATAATTTGGGTTTTCTGGAGAAAATTGTCAGATCCATTGCTCATAATACGTTCCAATATACCAGAAAAGATGTCACAAAAGAAAATTACGTTCTATTTCTTCTTTTTTTTCCTATAAAAATCACCAAACTTGTACTGAAACAATGAACAATTTGATAAAACGTCACCGAAACCTCATACAGATTTTCTAAAAAGGAATGTTCAAATCCTGGCAGAGATATCAGCAAAATATCATCGACCACAAAAAGAAGTATGAACTATTCAAAATCCATGAATCATTAGAAATCTATACATCAATCTCGTTCAACAGAAACGCAATGGAAGCAAATTTAAAGATTAAATCCGCGTCTCAGAGCAGAAAAAAACAGGAAATAGATCAGATTAAGAGAGATAAACTTTACCAACGAAGAAAGGATCGAAATGGCCAAGGAGATGATGAATTTGATCAGCCTGAAGTACTAAACAGCGTAGTAGAATTAGCAATTATGAATGATCGATGAGAAAACACAAATGGGTTTTTCTCTACTTAGCCGGAATCGATAAGTTCAACATGAAATTTCACTAAAATGCGACTAATACTCGCCGTTTAGAAGAGAATCGTGCCGCGAAATATCTCCCAGGAATCATTACCCTTCGTGATCAGCATAAAAGTAGAAAATAGGGAGAGGCGGAGATTTACCGGCCAAAAAGAGGGATTAATTTGCTCCGGAGGATTCGATTCGATGAAGATTTTCAGGCAGTAGGTTTCGTTTTTTCCGGTGCCGTGAAGAAGATGGCGAAATCAAGGAGGGGCGTTGGATTTGGGAGATGAAGAAGGACGCGGCAACTTTATCTCCTCTAAATTCTGGTTGGTAGGTCCTCTTGGTGAAGGCTTAACATTAAATTTAGACCTCATTAAATAGAGAAACATATGTTTTTTTTTCCTTTCTTTAGAGTCTTTTTCTTTTGGATTGGCAAATTTTAGAGTCTTTCTTAATTGGACTAACAATTTTTCGTATATTTTTCGGCCTAACAATTCTCATATATGTATATTGTGGACTAACAGATTTTTAAATACGAGTGTATGTATTAAAATAATGATATATGGTAGTGGAGATTTCTTTGAGAATTAATTTAGACCTTAATAAATAAAAGAGTTATTATAAAGTGGATAATTATCCACCTAACCGACTTTAGCAAAGTCGGTTTCTCCTCCCTCCCTATAAATAGTCTTTTCCTCAATGTAAAAATTGTAACGAAAGAAGTAAAAAAGAAAAACTTCTCTCTCCCTTACTCATAGCTCTCAACTTCTAATATATAAAATAATATATATACACAAATACATATATATATATATATATCATCTTAGATAATATATAAAATGTTATCAGCACGAACGTCTTTTGATCCGTTTATACCTAAAAAGGTAAGATTTAAATTTATGTTTATTTCAAGTTTACGTATTATTTTCGGGATGATAGGTTCTGCCTTCCCCAAATCCGTTAATTAAATTTATATTAAAGTTTACGAGATGATAAGCTTTGCCTTTCCCGAACTGATTGTTGAGATAGGCTATGCCTTCACAATCATATGATCATATGGTAGACTATGTCTCCTCAGATCATATATATGGAGTAGAAGGTTAAACCTCCTCCTTGATATTATGTTTATAGAGTAGAAGGCTCTGCCTCCTCAAAATTATATGGTAGGCTCTGCCTCTTCAAAAATTATGGTAGGCTCTGCCTCCTCAAAAATATGGTAGGCTCTGCCTCCTCAAATTATATGGAAGGCTCTGCCTCCTGTATTATTTTAAATTTCATGTTTTTATTATGTGTGAGAATTAATTTTTTTTATCATGTTTTTCTCGAAAAACAAATTTTTAAACTGAACGTTTGCTAAATTTATTTTTGATAAAATTATATACAGTTATAATGTCGAATTTGGCAAAGCTCGAAATCCCTGCCCTTGATGTGTCTGGGAAATATTATATGTCATAGGCAGTAGGTACAAAAATGCATCTAAGAGGAAACGGGCTTCTCGATACCATCGATAAGTCGGAAACGACATCAGATGAGAAAAATGCAAAAGCCATGATATTTTTGCTCCACCACATCGATAATAGTTTAAAAGAAGAATACATCACGAAAGAAAATCATGCAGATCTTTGGCAATCTCTTAAATATAGGTTTGATCACCAGAAATATGTGATCTTACCAAAAGCCAAACATGAGTGGTTAAACCTCCGGTTTCAGGATTACAAAAGTGTTGGTGAATATAATTCCGCTATGTTCGGAATTACTTCCAGGATGATGTTATGTGGACAGGAGGTAAGTGATTTCGACATGATCGAAAAAACTCTCCAAACATTTCATCTTGGAAATGTAATCCTGCAACAACAATACCGGGCAAAAGGTTACACCACTTACTCGGAGTTGATGCAAGTCCTCCTTGTAGCTGAAAAAAATAATCAGCTCGTGATGTTGAACTATCAAACTCATCCAACTGGATCATCGCCATTTCCAGAAGCGAATGTTGCGTCATCCAGTCAAAATAATAGAACCGAACGCGGATGCGGACGTGGTCGAGGCCGCAACCGCAGTCGCGGACGAGGTCGTGGACGAGGAAGACAAAACGATGTTGGTCGGGAAGCAGGAAAGCAAAAAGAAACTGCTTGTTACAGATGCGGCATGAAAAATCATTGGGCAAAAACCTGTTGTACACCAAGACATTTAGCCGATCTGTACCGAGCATCACGAGATGCCAAAGAAAAGGATAAAGGAAAGAGTTTTGAAACCAATTTCATCTCTGATGAAGCTGAAACTTCCTTTGATGGCATAAGTGATTATACTCATCTTGATATCGCTGATTTCCTAGTTGATCCAGAAGAATCAACGGAAACAAAGCGATTAAGATCAATGTAATGTAAAGTCTTCTCGAAGAAGACAAGAAAAACCCTATGTAATTTTAAATAAGAATGTTATATGTTTTTGTTAACAAGACAAGGTTTTTCTTAATATAAATAACTTTTAAAACCATGTTTTGATTTATTAATGCATTTTCTTGCATATTTTGATTCAGATTATGTCATCATTTGAGATTCAGAATGGAGATACATGTCTAGCCGATAGTGCTACGACACATACTATACTTAAAGATAAAAAGTATTTCTCCTATCTCAAAATAAAGGACTCCGCCGAAAGCGTGGGTACCATATCTGGTAATGCAAATATTATAATTGGCTCCGGAAGAGCTAATTTTTCAATGCCAAGGAGGACAAATTTTGAAATAAATGATGCATTATATTCCCCCGAATCTAGTAGAAACTTGCTAAGTTTTAAAGATATCCGAGGAAATGGATATCAAATAGCAAGTACAAATAAGAATGGCATTGAATATCTTTGCATTATATCTGAGAGAAAACACGTATTGGAAGAATTACCAATGATGTCCTCTGGGTTATATTGCACAAAAATAAATATGACTGAATCCTATGTTACAGTAAACCTGGCGTTTACTAGTACATTTAGAGTATGGCATGAAAGACTTGGCCATCCTGGATCAGTCATGATGCGAAGGATTGTGCAAAATTCGAATGGCCACCCATTGAAAAACCAAAAGATTTTTCAATCGGGAGAGTTTTCATGTCAGACATGTTCTCAAGGAAAACTCATAACTAGGCCCTCGCCAGCCAAAGTTGGGAATGAATCTCCTGTATTCTTAGAGAGAATACATGGTGATATATGTGGGCCGATTCACCCACCGTGCGGGCCATTTAGATATTTCATGGTATTAATTGACGCATCTACCAGATGGTCACATGTGTGTTTATTAACCACAAGAAATATGGTTTTCGCAAGATTCATTGCCCAAATAATCAGGTTGAGAGCGCAATTCCCTGATTATGCCATAAAGAAAGTCAGGCTTGATAATGCTGGTGAATTCACTTCAGCAGCCTTTAATGACTACTGCATGTCATTAGGAATCGATGTTGAACATCCGGTTCCACATGTTCATACACAAAATGGCATGGCTGAGTCTTTAATAAAACGGTTTCAATTGATAGCAAGACCCTTAATATTGAGAACAAAACTCTCAATTACTGTATGGGGACATGCTATATTGCATGTTGGGATATTGGTTCAGATGAGGCCAAGTGCATATAATGAATATTCCCCAATACAGTTAACATCTGGCAAGGAGCCAAATGTATCCCATCTCCGTATATTTGGATGTGCGGTCTATGTCCCAATAGCCCCGCCGCAAAGAACAAAAATGGGGCCACAAAGGAGATTGAGAATATATATCGGTTATACGTCACCAAGTATAATTAGATATCTTGAACCGGTAATTGGAGATATGTTTACGGCACGTTTTGCCGATTGCCACTTTGATGAAAATGAATTCCCAGCGTTGGGGGGAGGATCAAGAGAATCACCAAAGGATATCACATGGTGTACACAAACCTTGGCTTATCTCGATCCCCCTACCCATCAACGCGAAATGGAAGTTCAGAAAATCATACATTTGCAAAGGTTGGCAAACCAGTTACCTGATGCGTTCACAGATACGAGAAGAGTGACAAAATCATATATCCCCGCTGCTAATGCTCCATCAAAAATAAATGTTCCGGAACTAGTTATTGATGGGAATAAAGCAAATGAACCGCGGGTTCAGTTAAAGCGCGGGAGGCCGATGGGCTCGAAGGATAAAAATCCTCGAAAGAAAAAGAAATTGGGAGACAAGGTTCCAGAAGAACCGAATAAAGAAAAATGTCTTGAAGACATTGGTGAAAAGGTTATAGAAGAACCATATAAAGGTATATGTCCTGAAGACATACATGAAGAGGTTCCAGAAGAACCAATTAAAGAAGTTCGTCTCGAAAACGAACATGATACTGAAAAGTATGAGATTTCCATTAACTTCGCCCAAAGTGGGACATTATGCGCTAGAAGCGAGATAAATGATACAAATGGAATATTCTCCTTTTCGGTATCTAAAGAAATTGAAAATGAAAATGATGATCCAGACCCAAGGTCCGTGTCAGAATGTCAGAAAAGGTCTGACTGGGAGATAGATTGCCATGAAAAATGAATTAATCTCCCTGAATAAAAGAAATGTCTTTGGACCTATAATCATTACACCAGAAGATGTAATGCCAGTCGGGTGCAAATGGGTATTTGTGAGAAAAAGAAATGAGAAAAACGAGGTCACAAGATATAAAGCCCGACTTGTGGCACAAAGTTTTTCTCAAAGACCGGGAATTGATTATGAAGATACATATTCCCCGGTCATGGATGAAATCACATTCAGGTACTTAATGAGCCTAACGGCATCTAAAAATCTAGAAATGTACCTTATGGATGTTGTGACTGCATATCTATATGGATCACTTGATAGTGATATATATATATATATATATATATATATATATATATATAAATTTCAGAGGGAGTAAAGATCCCAGAAGGATCAAAGATGCCTGAAGCATCTAAAGACATATGTTCGGTCAAATTACAGCGATCACTTTATGGATTAAAACAATCTGGACGCATGTGGTATAATCGCTTAAGTGAATATTTGTTGAGTAAAGGATACATCAACAATGCGATATGCCCTTGCGTATTTATTAAAAAATCCTCGTCAGGATTTGTGATCATTGCTGTATATGTTGATGACCTGAACATAATCGGAACTCAAAAGGAGATTGATGATGCACGAACTCACATGAAAGAAGAGTTCGAAATGAAAGATCTTGGAAAGAAAAAATTTTGTCTAGGGCTCCAGATTGAGCATTTCAAAGATGGGATATTTGTGCATCAATCAAATTATACCAAAAGAGTGATAAAACGCTTTAAAATGGATAAAGCAACTCCTTTGAGTA